ATGCCCAAGCACCATGAAATATAATCTAGTCCAATGTTCACAGATAGAACGAAGCACCCTACACACCAGCAATGAAACACAACTCAACTGTTTAAAAATGGGGGGGGAGGAGGCCTCTCTAGAGATACACACGACCACACAGACAAATCTGGCAAAGTCGAAGATGCTAGACTAAAGGAATATCATAATACCCAAGATAATGGTGAGGGCAGCACAAGAGGAAAAGCTTGGCTATACTCATTTAGTGCTATCATGCAATTTTCATTCTGACATGATTAAATCAAGATAGCCATGTTTTAAAAGGAGGCTTTTATCTTGAGAACATGTCTGAAGCTGAAGGCACTGAACTACCTCACACGTCTGCACTCTTCCTGAGCATGACAAACTACAACAAATACAACCTAATTCATTTGTTTAGAGAATGTGACAGAAACTGGCATGGTCATGACCATCTGAAGAGTGACCTGAGGTAAACTGCCTGAAAAGGATAAGATTCAAAGACTGGCATCACTGCAATCAGACTCAAACAAAGAAAAGCTGCAGCAGGGCCCCCTTGAGGTAAATCCTGACTTGGCTTCTGAGGAACTAAGGTGATCTTGATGGGCAGTGGGAGGAATCACAGCACAGATAAAATCCTCACAAGGAAAGGGGAAGATGTATTAGCAACTAGTCCAGGTGTAGCAGTGGCAGACCACCTGACAACTTAAAGGGCTTATTCTGAGGAAAAAATGGGAGGGAGAGGGGAGGGAGCACTTAGCTGACATGGTAATACACACTTGGGAGGCAGAGCAGATGTAGAGTACCATACACATTCAGAATGGGTTTTGCCACCTCGGGTAATCTAATCTAGAAATGCCCATGGACAAGTCTCCTGGTGACTGTAGCTCCTGCCGTGGTAAAATCAGTACTAGCCACCACAGGAGGAAAAGAGGACCAAGAAAGGAATGGAAGCAGGCTAGAAGTGTGTAAATCTATATACATAAAGTGCAAGCACAAGGCTAGCCGGAGTGACAGATCAGTGGTTGGAGGGGCTCCAGGACTTCAAGACGGCTACAACCACTGCACTGCATTGCTACACAAGAGCAAAACCACACTTTTCAAAGGTGGGATGCACTTTCCATTTAGGAATTCTAAAAAGAAGTGAAAGAAGCCTGTTCTTACCCTACTGGTAGAAAGTAATACCCATAAGGTATTTATTCTAAGAATTAAAAATACAAAGATTTATGAAGGCAGTTATCTTTCTACTACTACAAAAAAATGACGACAACAACAAAAAAAAAACAAAAGCTATGATCTAACAATAGCTTTTAAGTGGCCAAAACACTTTTAAATATTTAAAACCCATTAAAAATCAAATTTGTAAACAATTTTAATGACATATGCAAGTGATAACAATATTGGATTGCTTTTTAAAATTACAGTAGGTGGATAAATATGTAGCTCAGTGGCAGTCTGGTATACTTGAGGCCCAGAACTCAATACAACAAAATGAAAAATAAAACAGGTGTGTAGGAGGAAGTCTGTATGCCGCCATTAAACATGTGACTTACTAGAGGCGCATACAGATGAGGTAATAAAAGGGCGGTTTACCACACCGCTAACCACACCCACTTTAGGCAGGACTAAAGATGTATACGTACGTAGGCGGTGAACTACGTCACTAGCCAGGCCCACTTTTGGGCATGGCTAGGGGGCGTTACGGGGGAAGGTATAAAAGACAGCACACAGGAAGTCTCGGTCTCTTTTCCCGGAGTTCGGCTTCCGGTTCGGCAGCAGGAAAACTGCTTGGCTCATCTGGGTTACTTGTTTGGTATCTTGTGAGTAATTTCTACAATAAATACTTAGTTTTACTTTCAGTAATTGTGTGTCGCTTATCGTTACAGCGTCAATTGGAGCTACACAGGTGACCAGGGTCAGGAGCTCAAAGTCATCCTAAGCCACATCTTGAGTTCCAGGCCAGCCTCCACCACACAAGTCCCTGCTTCAAAAAAGAAGATGGGGGAGAAGGAAGAACAAAGCATGCACACAGAGCCTAGTTTTGCTCCACTGGCATCAGCAAGACTGAATTGTTTGAACTCCGATGCCTATAAACATAACTTACATCCTGGGATGCTAGAAAGATAAAAAAATGTGCTTTCATAACATCATGCATGTGCTTAATGTGAAGTCATTTTTATTGCCCAAGATATTCTTATATACACATGCCTAGCTCTTATTTTCCATTTAGGCATGGCATGCCAAATATAAGCACATATATATAATATATATATGATACAGAGATGATGCCACCCTCTTGCTGTATATATAACCAGTCTCTCCCTCATAATAGGCCATACTGTTTGAGGACATTTATGGAAAGATCAAGTTGAAAATCTCACTAACACGACTCCCTTACCTCCTGCACTAGTGTTCAAACCTACAGCCTTGAATGTGCACCCTGCAATTGAGCTGCACTGCACCCCAAAATATTTGAATATTTTAGCAGACTGAGTCTCAGTTCCCTATCAGTGAAACACTTATAGCTCAGTAACCATGTGTTGTTCTATTATAATATTCCTCTACTCCAACTATTCATCTACTACTACTTACTAAACACTACCATATTCTGGACTCCTAAGTGGTTTATGAATGAACCAAACCTCTAAATTGCTCAAAAATGGTACCAGTACCCACCTCCCACCCCCACTGTATAGACAATGAACTGAGATTTCAGTAACTTAACACATACATCAAATTAGATGACTTTAATATAAAAAGTAAATTTCTGAGTCAGGCAGTGGTGGCACACACCTTTAATCCCAAAACTCATGGCAAAAGCAGTCGAATCCTTGTGAGTTCAAGATCAGCCTGGTCCACAGAGTGAGTTCCAGGACAGCCAATGCTACACAGAGAAACCCTGCTTTAAAAAACAAAAAAGGAAAAAAAAGGAAATTTCTGGGCTGGAAAGATGACTCAGTGATTAATTGCTCTTCAAAAGACCTGGGTTCAATTCCCAGGATCCACACAGGGGTTCACAACAGCCTGCAACTACAGTTCCAAAGGATCCGTTGCCCTCTTCTGGCCTCTGAAGGCACTGCATGATACACAAACATGCAGGCAAAGCGGCCATATACACAAAATAAGAAAAATTAATAAAAGATTTCAGTAGATATGGGTCAGGGGAGTGTCAGCCTACAATCCCACTGCCAGTGAGTCTGGGAAACAGGGAGGTTCCCAAGAGAGATGCATGATATTCCAGAGAAGTGGAATAAGACAAGATCTCCTGAGCCGATCTGGAACATCAGGGGAAGGGAGAGGGAACCAGGAAAAAGAGAGGGGGATAAGAGGAGGGGAGAAGAAGGCATGGGGGAGCAGGAAGGTTGAGTCGAGGTAAGAACAGAGGAGAGCAGGATGAGAAACACCATAATAGAGGGAGTCATTATAGGCTTGAGGAGAGAACTGACATTAGTGAGATCTCCAGAGATCTTACAAGGATAACACCAACTGGCAAACTAAGCAATAGTGGAGAGACTACATTAATAGCCCCTCCTTGATGATAAGGTTGATGACTACCCTATATGCCATCCTAGAACCTTCATCCAGTGACTGATGGAAGCAGAGACAGATACCCACAGCTAAACACTGAACTGAACCCATGGAACCTAGTGACAGAGATGGAGGAGTGATGAGCAAAGGGGTCAAGACCATGATGGTGAAACCCACAAAGACAGCTCTTGAATCCCAGACTGATGGCTGAGAAGCCAACATGAGACTGATCCAGACTCCATAAATGTAGTCTCAGGGAGGAGGCCACAGAAATCACTGGGGCCTTGGGTAGTAGGTCAGTGTTTACCATGGTTTATGAATGATCTTTGGGAGACCATTCCAAATAGAGGGATGCTCTCTCAGCCTGGGCACATGGGGAAGGGCCTAGGTTCTGCCCTGGATGAAATGACAGACTTTGGAGATCCCCAGCAGGAGGGCCTCACCCTCCCTGGGGAATGATGTGGGGATGGGGTGAGGGGCTGGGGAGGCTCGTGGAGGGACAAGGGAAGAGGGGTGGGAGAGGGAGCTGGGATTGACATGTGAAGTATTCATGTTTCTAATTTAAATAAAAACATATACTGAGAAAAAAAAAGTAGATTTCAGCCCACATCAAATTTTAAAACTGAGAAGCACCCCCAAGCACTATTCAGTACTCTTAATGGCTTCCACAGCCACACAAAGCAGCTCCCTCCCAGGTGTCACACAGCACTTCCCATGAGTCCCATTCAGATGAGTCACTGCAGACTGGAACGCTGCCTCTTGAGTCTTCTCAGGCATACGCCAGTGTCAAGAATAAATGATTTGGGCTTTTGTTGCTGTTCTTGCTTGGGTTTTTTTCCCCTCTTGGGAGGAGTGGGTGTTTGTTTCCTGGTTTTTTGAAAACAGGGTCTGCCTGTATACCTCTGGCTACCCTGAAATCCATTATGAAGACCACGCTGACCTTGAACTTGCAGAACAAATGGCATATAAACTTTTACCCACTAAAACCTATTTAAAACATGAAACAAACACAAGATAAGCACGTGAAACACACGCATAATAGAATCTTCTCAAATGATGCAAGTTAGAAGTGTAAAGGGCATGTCGACACAAGCCCTCATCATTCCATGAGGCCACCTCAGCGTCCTCTGAAATACCTCTGCCTGAAGAATGGCAGATAATGTTGGATCAATCAGAACCCAGCTTTTACCAACCAGTAAATGCCATTCTTCTTTTTTCCTTTTCTTTGCAAGAAAAAAAAAAAGATACCGCGTAAACCTGAAACTCGAAAGAACTGGAAGGCTTTTGTTTTCTGAGCTAGAGCTTGAACTAGGGCCTTCTTGTGTATTCCGCACTGGGTGCACCCCAGTCTCTGAATGAGCTATTATAATTCTCCCCCATGCACAAGTCAGCCAGTCACTGTCCCACCTGCCCACTCGGCTGGGAAGATACGGAAGGCCCCACATTAGTGGAGACAAGCTTCCGGTACGCCAACCACTGCAGCACTTTAACAGAACCATCACAACCCTGGGGACACCCGCGCATTCACCCAGGAGGAAGCTGAGGGTGTGGTTAGGAAACCTGTCCCGAGGTAACTGGCTGGTAAGTGGCTGAGGAAAGGTTGGGGGGATCCCAAGCAGTCGTCTGTAACCTCCCCCAACAAACACACTACACTGCAGCCCAAGGCTGGCCAGCATCACTGGGAGGGGGGGAGGCACGTGCACGCCTTCTCCGAGGTACGCGTTTCCTATGCATCCTGGGGACTGGTCTCAGGAAGTCTTGCCCAAAGGCGAGATGCACGTGCACCCGGACGCAGCAGACCCTCCCTAGGCCAGCTGGCGATTCAGGAAAGCCCCAGGCGCTAGCTGGGCCTGTCCTTCAGGAGGCGCCACATGCGGGTCTCCGGGAGACAGGTCCACCGCACACGGGGGCCGCCGCGCTGCGCTGCCCTCGCCTGCCCGGAACGGGTCCCGCCGAGGCCCGGCCAGGGAAGGCCGCCGTTGGGCCGCGAGCTCAGCTCAGGACGTGCCGCACTAGCGGGCCGCCCCCGGGCCCAGAGGCCCCGGACCGCCGCCCGCCGGTCCCCCGGCCCTCTCGCCGCCCCGCGTACTTGGCTTTGAGGCGCAGTAGCTCCTCAAATTGCCGAGCCGAGCCAACCTCCGCCACTGCCGCGGCCGCCTCAGCTGCTTCTACTGCCCCCGCCGCCATGCTGCCGCCGCCAGACGCCAGCAGTCGAGCGCCGGAGACTCGATAGGGCGGGACGGACGCGCGAGGAGGCTGCGCAGGGAAGCCACGCCCCCTGCGGCCAGGGCACACCCCTGATGCTCTATGTCACACCCTCCGGCACTGTTCCGCCCGCCCTCTGGCCGGGAGAACGGGGAAGCCCGGAGGCACTGGCCATGATTGAGTAGGGCTAGTGGGGCCTCCCTGCTTTGTGTTTGTGTGCTAACTATCTCGATGTCTTGGTCCCTGGCTGGTTTTGATCAGAACCTTCCCTGGAGCTCATAAATCTACGATAGCAAGGGGTACAAGTGTGTGTATTGTTAAATCCCAGTGAAGTTAGATTAGAACATTTGCAACCTGAAATTTCAGGTAAAACTGCATGAAGATGCACTGGGAAGTAGAATAAGAGGCAGAAGTGTCTGAAGCACAACCCTGATAGCCCTTGTACCTCAGTCCTGGAGGAATCTCGAAAACCTTTGGAGGTGCTCTCTGAACCCCAGTATCAACCCTTGGGTACAGTCCTGTGACACCTGTTACCCAGTGCAGCCTAGACACAGCAAGGCCTGCAGGATCCTAGCCTCTAAGTACCATTAGGCTCCTTTTCAGAGTTCCTGCACCTTCCCACCCTGGCCCAGCATCCATGCCTCTCTTACTTGAAGCCTTCCCAGGCTGCCCTTACAAAATCTCCTCCCTTTCCTGAGCAGTGACTCTCTGGGATCTTCTCCAGACCTTTTCCCATGATAACCCAGGAAGAAGCCATAAGTTTGAGTCCAGCCTGAGCTACACAGTGAGTTCTAGGTCAGCCTGAGTAACAGTAGCAGATTACATATATGAAATAATATTTTATTTTGGATATATTGGAAATTAAAGTTACCTCTTTTTACCTTTACTTACTCGTCATTTTAAATTAAACAGAAGAGTTCCTTATGGTGACTCATTCCTGTTCTCTATTGGCAGCCCTGCTTCCATGATTACAAACAGCCCTAGGAGCCATGTCATATACATGCCCTACCTTGAGAAATACAACTACTGAAAATGTAAGTCACAAGACACCAAATTCAATGGGACAAACTGTTTTGCTTCTTTGCTGGGGTAGTAGAAATCCAAACCTAAGACTATAAAGAAATAAACATAAACAGCATGGTGGTGGCCCACACCTTCAATCCCAGCACTCAGGAGACAGAGGCAGGCAGCTCTCTGTGAGTTTGAAACCGGCCTGGTGTACAGAGCGAGTTCCAGGACAGGGGAGGCTACACAAAGAAACCCTGTCTCGAGTATCAAGAAAGCCACAGAAACCTCAGAAAGACAGCTTGCCACACACAGACATTAGCATCCTGGTTATGATATTGTATAACAGGGTTACAAGGTTTTACCACTGGGAGACAGTACACACAGTATCTCTGTATCCTGCCCCCCCACCCCGTATTTATTCTGAAGCAAGTTCTCACATAGCCCATGATGGCCTAGAGCTCACTGTGTAGCCAACGCTGGCCTTGAACTCATGATCCTCTTGCTTCTGCCTCCCAAATGTTGGGATTATTTTTATGTGCCACCCGATCTAGTTGATCATAAATTTATTCTATCATCACTGAAATATGCTCTCAAGTAGCCCAGGATGGCCTCCAGTTTGCTGTGTAGCCAATGTTTGCTATGCTGCTATCACATGATCCTCCTGCCTCTACCTCAGAAGGACTGGGATCCCACATGTGTGCCCCCAGACCCAGCATTTTCGTTTTCCTAGTAAATGCGTATGAATATACATTTTTAAACGAAAGGTTAGTTGACTGAAAACAGAGACCTTAGAGAACTCTTGGGAGGTAAAATACATGGAAAGGAGAAAACCATGTTGCAGAAACAGGATAGAAGGAGGGGTGACAATCCCAGCTCTCTGGAGGCTAAGGCAGGAGGTTCAAGAGTTTGAGGTGAGTTTGGACTACATAGTAAGTTCCAGAGAGCCTTAATAAAAAAATAAAATAAAATAAAGACAAGATGCCTGCTGTGATTGCTACTTTTAAGTATATAACTCTAAAGCTGAACATGGCATGGGAAAGAGTCTCCCAAAAGTCTTCCGAAGTGTGACAGCATGCTAGCAAAGAATGAGAGCTAGGGTGCTAACAGGAGGCCCTTCATCATCTATCCAGTGGTTCTTCGCCTGTGGGTCGTGACCCCTTTGGAGTCGAATATCATATACCCTTCGTATCGGGTAATAAGATCTACAACGGTAGAAAAATTACAGTTATGAAGTAGCAAGAACATAATTTTACGAGTAGAGGTCATCACAACATGGGAAACTGTTATTAAAGAGTCATCGCATTAGGAAGGTTGAGAACCACTGTATCATCATGCCTGCTTCTGCTTGTCTTCAAAGAGCACACACTGCCTCTGTCACATGAAGTTAGTAAAATCATAACTCAGGGAGGAGATGTGTTATAGAGTTCTTTTTTGTTTGTTTGTTTGTTTGTTTTTGTTTAGAAGTCACCCCACCTCTCATATAGCAGTTTTACAAATTCTGATTTTCCCTCTAAGTGGAATTTGCTGATCATGGATGGCATATACCAGCTACAGACAGAGCTCACCACTTTGGGATAAAGAGCAGGAAATGACCTGGAGAACTCTCCAGCTGCCCTTTCTGCAGTTACCACTGCTAATATTGATAAACCTAGGGGGCAGCAAGTGTCTTCATGCCTAGAAAATGCTGACTTCAGTATCTAAGCTTGAGATGGGCCAAGCTGCATCTTGGGAAACCAGTGAACCCAAGTTACAGTTGTGTATGGATCCATGTTTTCTGCCTCCCAAAGCAGTTACATGGGGTACATGTTTCTCAGGATCCCCAAACTGACAGTATAAACTATCACTGCTCCTCTCCCATTTATTACTAAAGAAGCTGCCCCGACACAGCAGTGAGGACAATGCCAGGATCCCCCTTTTAACCACTGCAAGCTCTCCTCATCTCACTGCTCTGGGAAGTCATCACTTTCCTCCTGACAACCTTAGGCAAACGCTGGCCATTTCTAGATTCACTGGCTTGGGCTTGTTCAGAACACCCCACACTTAGTGTGCTGGCTAGTGTTATATCAACTTGGCACATGCTAAAAGCATTTGTGAGAAGGGAAAGCTCAACTAGGAAAATGCCTCCAAAAGACTGAGCTGCAGACAAACCTGTAAGTCATTTTCTTAATTAGTGATTGATGGGAAGGGTACAGCCCAATAGATGGTGCCATCCCAGGATTAAGGGTCCTGGGTTCTGTAAGAAAGCAGGCTGAGCAAACCATGATGAGCAAGCCAGTAAGCACTCCTCCATGGCCTCTGCATCAGCTCCTGCCTCCAGGTTCCTGCCTGCTTGAGTTCCTGACCTGACTCTTCCAGTGATGAAAAGTGATGTCTAACTGTAAAGTAAATAAACCAGTTCTCCCCCCAAGTTGCTTTGTTTTTTTTGGTCCAGGTGTTTTATCACAGCAATAGTACAATAGTAACTTTAACAAAGACACTTGACTTTCCTCTAAGCAGGTGAATGCTCCAAATCAAAAGCAAAAAAAAAAAAAAAAAAAAAAAAAAGGAAAGCAAGAGATTGAGGCTTATTTGAACCCACATCCCTGTAGGGTCACTCTGGGCACTGACTTCGCCTGACCTGATGTATAAACATCACTCACTAATATCTGCTGCCTTTTTAAGAACTGGGATTCCCACCTGAGACCTCCAATGCCCTCTGGTGAGATAATATCCTGGGTTGTTGGGTATGCCCCTTCCCAACACAGCAGCTGCGTCTAAAACTTCTAAAGACACTACAATGATGCTGCCCCTGGGGCACCATGAAGTACTTCTGGGGCATAGGAACGGGACCTGGGATTCTGGCAGGGAGCCGAAGTCATGGCCTGGGAGGGAGAAAACTTCAATGAGGGGCAGCCAAGAAACCCCATCGCAAGTCTGCAAGTCAACTATGGGATATGTGCCAGTGTGCACAGTCATGTAGAGGCCAGGGGACAACCTTGTATGTAGTCCCTCAGGAGCTGTCCACCTTGTTTCTTGAGACAAAGTCTCAATGACCTGCAACTCTCCAAGTAGGCTATGCTGGCAGGTCAATGAGCTCCAGGGATCTAGATGTGTGTCTCCCCATCCTGATCCCTGGCATTGGGATTACAAGCCAGCTTTTTTCAAGTGGGTTCTGGGCATGGAGCAAAGGTCCTCCTGTTTTTTTCCTGGCTGAGCTACCTCACAGCCCTCAACTGTGCTGTAAACTTGTGGGGGTGGGGGCATATTTTTCTGGGCTGGACAAGAACAGCTGATATATTTACTCCTCCAAAACAGCCAGGGTAATATTTTAACCACAGGCTTGTAATGATTTGTCATGCATTCCTATGGCCAAACTTACTCAGCATGCACAGGGCCAGGACTGTGAGGTCACAAGCAAGCCATTCTGCAGAGGACCATACCTGGCCAGCAGAAATGAAGCCTGAAAATCCTGTTCCCTCCCACGGGTAGAAATCTGCAAACCCTACTAAGAGAAGGGAGAGACAGAAAGAGATGTTGGAGGGAGCTGGAAGAGGGGAAAGCACTGAAAAGGGCTGCCACTCAAGTAAAATGGCCGAGGTTTCCCTTCTTTTAAGAGAGACTCTTAAATTCCAATTACTCTGCCCCCAAAGACCAGTTGAGAATAACCCCAACTGGAGGGAATTAATTTCCTTAGGAATTTCACTGGTGAGAGATTAATGGAGACCCCCGCAGAGCAGCGGTAAAGCTGTTAGGACAGGATTTGCACCTGAAGGATACATATTTTAATTTCAGTTCTCAAGCTGCGATAACATCTTCTGAGCTACCATAAAAGCATAAATGAGCCCCAGTGAGCCCTGCAAGTCTGCTGAGGACTGGCAACTTGCAGCTCCCCAGGAGGAGTGTGGAGCCCACTTGGCCCCCGCTCCCCATCCCCCACACTGCTCACACAGTTTGGGCACAGCCAGAGCAGCCTGTGATCTTAGCTGGAAAGAGCCCCGAACAAGCCTCCCTCTCACAGTCTTGGAAAGGTGAGGACCAGGTTGACCCTGCCCTGAGCAGAATCCTGAGGCCGGAGTCTCCTAAAGAGGCCATCCTTGTTCATGCACAGGTACAGCCACCACCCCTTGTGTGACAGTTGGCCTGAACTAGCAATGAGGGTGCCCAAGGGCTGTGGTCCTCCCAAGGTCCCTCCAGAAAGTCCTGTAGGGAATTTTACCCCACAGTGGACCTTGGGAGGCAGTTTTCACCAAACACTGGTCCAACCACGAGGCCAGACTCCTCCTCCTTAATCCATGGCCACTGTGGCAGTCAGACTGTTTGCCTGCCACTCTGATAGCCATTTCTGTAGCACAGAAGTGGAAAGTGGCTGTGCGCATCCTCTGGACCCTCAGGAGGAGGAGCTCCATCTAGGGACAAGACAGCCAATTTCCTCAGTCCCTTCTTAGCAGAGGTGCTTTTATTGGAGCGCTCGATGTATAGGCTTGCTATAAAGGTTGTTTATGCTGTCATAGCTAGATGTTTATTGGTTATATTTCTGCTGCACTTGCTTGAAAAATAATTATTTCCAAAGAAAAGAAGAATTACATATCCAGTAAACTAAATAAGACTCAGTGTTTATTAGGGACCTCTGACAGCTCCTCAAACGCAAACAAACAAACAAACAAAAAGGCTTCTGAGCAGCAGCGAATGGACAATTTATGAGCGAGTTTATTTGTAAAACAGATTTCAAGACATACTTCATCTTGGCTGTGCCAATAAAATGTGTTCCATTTCTTTTCAGGAGCGAGTGCTGTCTGACGGCTCCACATAATCTAGTTTCCCCTACGAAGGGTTGGATGAGCAGAAGTATCCTCCACCCGGAGTGTGGGTTGAACGCTGGGGCTGTTACGGTGAGGGCTGAATGATCAGGCCCCAAAAGGCCAGCTCAGAAAGAATCCATCAGTAAGAATGCAGCTCAGCAGTCTTAACTCAGCTGCTTCAGTGTCCACAAATTCTTCAGTTAAAACCATTTGAAACTTGTTTTTAATGTGTGTACAGTCCTTTCATCCCCAGCCTGAATCCGCATCTCCTCTCACTACCCAGGCCAGGAGGAGCTGGGTGGGGTAGAGACAGTTTCCAAGCTGCAGGTGATAGCAGCCTTCTCTTCAGACTGGAGAATGCCTTTTTTTGAATGGATTCTCTAAATCAGCTAAGAGAGTCCAGGAAGAATTAACACAAAGTGCTCCAGGGCTCTGTTGATTCTTGCTGTATACCCTGCTTTCGCTGGCCCTTCTCATTACAACCAGCTAGGTACTTGAGATTTTATAAATGTCACCAGATCTGGACTGTGCATTTGAAAACATTGCCAGCACAGGGATGGGAGGGGTGTGTATGAAAAGGAAGAACTCTTTGCACAATCACTGACACACACATTTCCACACACATAAATGCCTTCCAGGGGTCCATGTCCAAGGGACCATGCCAGACACATGTGTAACATGAAAAATAAAAGACCCAGAGACAACCTGAAGACCAGGGAAACAAAGCAGCCGGCCACTAGCTCTCACCTCTAGCTCAGGCTGAAAGGGCTGATCCACACATGAGCTCTTCGCCAAGTCGCAGACTGCTGCCTCTCCTCAGTGTGGCTGGAGAATAAATGCCCCATACTGAATTTGTTCCTGTCTTCTATACCTCCCTAATCCTGGAATTAAAGGTGTGAGTTCTGTTACTCTTTTAGACTGATTCAATCTCTTGTATCTCTGGGTGGTCTAGAACTCCTAATCCTGTGTTTTAGGATTAAAGGTGTGTTCAATCACCTCCTAGCTGCTGGGATTAAAGGTGTGTATCACCACTGCCTGATCTCTATAGCTTGAGGCTGACTTTGCTTTTCTAAATCCTCAGTCAAGCTTCAATAAGTCATAAATAATATAACACACCTGGTTCTGGACGATGTATTGGCCTGAGCATGCAGAATCACCAAGTGTTTATATGCAGCTGTGGATCCTGTCTTTTCTGAGTCAAAAGGTTTAACATATAAACAGTGCATAGTGTATTCTCTGAGTCTTTTGAGAGTTAATGTTCTGTTCTTCTTTGAAAGTTTTGTTTGTTTCTTTTTTTAAACAGAATCTCACTATATAGCCCTGACTGTCTTGGAACTCACTATGCAGACTAGGCTGACTGCAAATTCAAAGAGGTCTGCCTGCCACTGTCTCCCAAATTCTGGAATCAAAGGTGTGTGCTAACTATAAGCTTGTTTCATATCTATGAAACTAAAGACACAGGTACATCTGCCTGTGTGACAGGCAATAGCTTGTATTATGGCTTGAGTCAGGAGTTTTCCAAAAGCTAAGTTCTTGAACACTTGTTTGGTTGCCTATTCATGGGCTTTGGGAATTGTTTGGAATAATTCCTTCATAGATTTCAAATATGGTGCATTATTGAGAGGTAGAGCCTAGAAGGGGCAATGTTTAGTGGGGACATGCTCTGGAAAGACATACCTTATTCCTGGTCCTTTTTTGCCATGATACACTCCCTCCCCACAGATCTCACAGCAATGACAGGCCTCACAGTGATGACCCCAGTGGACCACAAAGTTCAACCTGTGAAACCACGAACCAAAAGAAATCTTTCCTGCTTGGATTTTTTTTCCACTCAGGTATTTATCATAACAGCAAAACACAAACTAACACAGCCTGTGGAGCTAGAAGTAATTCCTTACAAGGCTAAAAATCTCTAGCCAGCCAAACTCAGGCTAGAAGGCTCAGAGTTCACATCCAGACATAGGGTCCTATCCAGCTACCTTAGCACACAGGCTCTCTGTCCAGAACTCTCACTTGGTGTGTGGGCTCAGAGATGCCATCTCCCAGAGTGATCTCTGGAGTAGCCAGAGAAGCCCAGGAGTGCTTGAATACACACACACACACACACACACACACACACACACATACACACACACACACACACACTTGCCATCATGCTACATGGTTCTCTATATAGCAGACACTTCCCTAGCCTAGAAATCAGATCCACTGAGATTGAATTAAGTCCATGACCTCAGTCATCACTGCCACATTCCTCAAAAATCCACTATACCCACAAGGACTTCCTCCCTAATACACAGGAGACATTTTGGGTACAAGAAGAGAAACAATGACTTTTTTTTCAATCCTAGGGCTGGAATTTGGGGCTTTGGAATCCTAGGCAAACACTCCATCACTGAGCTACAAATCTAGCCACCTTACCCTGAGAGATGGGTCTTACCTAGTTGTCCAGGATGGCACTGAACACTCAATCCTCCTACCTCTGCCTTCTAGGTACTTAGCATTTCAGACTTGTGCCACCAGGATCAAGGAATACTGATAATTTGCTACTTTTAATCATTGTCATCCAAACTCCCATTCATTCTGAGTTCCTGAGGAGTATGGTGGGCCGAGTGCACAGGAATGTATGATCCTTAGCCCTCCTCATGCAACTCCATGGCCTCTGCAACAGGACAGCATTGACTGAAGTGTGGAAGCTCAGGGAGGCATTGTCATCAGATGACCTGGGCAAGCATCCCATCAGATGACCTGGGAGTCATTTGGACATGCTTCATCACCAAAACATTCCCATGGGAAGCTCTCCAGACTGGAGCCCCACCCTGGATTTAAACAGCCAGGATGTTTTCTGTGGTTTTGTTCTGGAAAAACACTACTGACGAAGTTCCTTCTTCCAGAACACACACACACACACACACACACACACACACACACACACACACACACACACCCCAAAACAAAAACAAAAAACAAAAAAAACAAGTACCAGGTAAGATAGCCCAGGCCTGTGATCCCAGCTGTCAGGTGGAGGCTCAAGGATCAGCAGTTTGAGGCCAGGCAAGGTAACATGAGGCCCTTTCTGGAAAAAATTCAAAATGGATAAGGGCTGAAAAGATGTATGGGTGGTGAGGAACTCCTGTGGCTCTTTTAAGAGACCTGCATTCACTTCCCAGCTCTTACACCTCCACTTATAACTGCCTGTACTCAAACACATAAAAATACAAATCATTTTCCTTTTAAATGATCAGAAAAGGCTCATTAAACCCTTAAAATCCCACTCAAAAGGAAGAGGCAGGAGTTAAAGGCCAACCCCCATCGCATAGTGAGTTTGAAGCTAGCCTAAGAAACAAAAAATGGGGGAACCCCATAAAGCCCCGCAAGAGAAGAAGGAAGGAGATGGGAATTTTAGGAATGTGCAGTCTCTAATAGCCCTGGAGTATGTCTAAATAAATGAACTGCTATGTAATATTCTCACATTCTCAAGATGAAGGTGCTTATTTCCTAAGCTACACACTCAGAGAGAGCTCTGAGGTAAACTTGAGTGGGAGACAATATTCATTATAAATTAAAACTATATATATAGGTTTTTGTTTAGCTCAAGAAATGTTTCACTCAAACACAGGCTGTCACTATTACCAATAGTTACCTTTCTAGGCTTTGAGACAGATGGGTAGTGCCCCTAGATGGGTGGTCTTTTCCTTCATGAGGCTGAGGGAAAGAGCCATGCCCGGCCCTCCACTGTGTCTATACAGGGCCAGGACAGTGGCTGTTCCTCTGCTCATCTCGTCCATCTGCTTTGAGAATGCAGCATTTGCCCTAGCAGTGAATAGCAAGAGGCCCAGAGCTGTCCTGCTGCCTTGAGGGGCTTCCAGTATCTGCTACTCAATTTTTTTTCTTCCACACCAGAGTCACAGCTGGCCCCATCTTCTAAGACAATTTTGTTTTGTTTTACTTTTTTTCAAGACAGGGTTTTTCTGTGTAGCTTTGTAGACCAGGCTGGCCTTGAACTCAGAGATCTGCCTGCCTCTCTGCCTCCAGAGTGCTGAGATTAAAGGTGTGCACCACTACCACCCAGCTTGTTCTAATTTTTTATATAATGCTGGGATTTAAAACCAGGGCCTTTTACATGCAAAGGCAAGTACTCTACCACTAAGCTATACTTCCAACCCTATAAGTTTCTATAAGTTGAATAGTAAGTATGGCTTTGTGTTTTTATGTATGGGTGTTTTTCTTGCATGTGTTGCCTGTGCACCAGCTGCCTGCCTGGTACCCTCAGAAGATAGTCAGCTTTTCTCGGATTGGAGATGCAGAGGATTGTGAGCCTCCATGGGAGTGCTGGGGATCAAAACTAGATCCTCCCGAAGAGCAGTCAGTGCTCTTAGCCACTGAGCCAACTCTCCAGCCTAGTTTTTTTAATTAATTATGTGTATATGTGGGGTATGTGCACATGAGTGTAGTGGCCTCAGAAGCCAGAGACATCAGATTCCCTGGAGCCGGAGTTACAGCCAGTTGCCAGTCCTGACTGTCCTGGAACTCGATTTGTAGACCAGGCTGGCCTCAAACTCACTGAGCTCCACCTGCCTCTGCCTCCCAAGTACTGGGATTAAAGGTGTGTGCCACCATTGTCCAGCACAGTACAGGTTCTTAACATCGAGCCATCTCTCCAGTCCCCTAGTTTTATTTCTTTGTCCCAATTTCTCTGACCATCTTCCTAGACTAGTGGAGACCAAAAGAAATTTCACCAACTCGATGGAAATCTTTATTTTCTGATTTCTCTACACTGTAAATCACTGCACCAGAGTGATACTACAAATGACCAGACCCCCTGTTGGGTAGTGAGTCACAGATGTATCCCTCGTCACCCAGTTTTCGCTCCTTGAGAATTGAGTTATTATATCGTCATTCCTTATCCAGAGCCGTTATTATTGGGCATAACTGTATTTATCCTACAGAAATATGTCCTTTTACGATGGGATATAAATATTAACTAACAATGTCTGGCATACTTGGTCACCAGTACAGCTGGGAGAGGTGGGAGTCTCAGAGAATCTTGAGGCCTAGCCTTAGCCTTAAATGAAATGTTCTGTTTTCTGAGATGCTTGTAATCTTTAACAGTGTTTAGCAGTCTCTTCAGGAAAGGTTCATTTCTTAGTTACCTGAGATGTGGAATGTGGCTTTGCATGTCTTTGATTTTGTTTTATAATTTCAAACAGTCAGGAAATATTGCATTCTCTGGCAATCAATTTATTTTGATTGATAAAAAGGGGTTAATAAAAACTCCCTTAGAAATAAAAGGAAGGCGAATAGCAATATATCTTTCATTGTGCCTTCTCTCGGCTGTGCATAAAGAGAGCAAGCTCTTTACTGTTCCTCAATAAGTCTTCTCCCCTTATTTTCTATACCTAGTGAGTCATTTATAATCCTTATTATTTCCAACCCACACACGAACACAACATCAGTCATATTTCCACATGCTAGAGCTTTCCCTTTCCTATGCTGAGAGAGCCGAAAGGCAAAAACACCCCATAATTTATATGAAAATGCATGCCCAAAATGCATTATCCAACATAACTAATGTGACTTCAGATCCTTGCAAGTGAAAAAATTTAGGACAAAATATAAAACCTTGTACTAAAGTCCCCATCTATTCCTGAAACCAAGTAGGACCCAGAAAGTGCATGGGCATATGGCATTTGACAAATGTCACCAGTGATTAAAGACAAGGCCATGTTAAAATGAGATATAATTAATGCAATGCACTCAAATATGAAGCTATCGATTTTTGAGGGCACATTTGTGACTGATTGATATTCTTATTTTTTGACAGCACCTGTGAAGAAAATGCAAAATGACAGGCTGTAGAAGACTTGGCTTCTGTGTGTAGCAGTGCCTACTGTGTGTAGTAGTGCCTACTGTGATTCTGTGGACTGGAATGACACACACCTAACACACCTTATGCGCTCCTATGCATGTCCAGTTTGCACAGACCATACAGTTTCCCAGATGTCAAATCTGAACTGTTTGGGGTCACCATGCTAAGCATATTTACAATGTCAAAAAATGTTTTAGGGAATTAGCTAATTCACAAAGGTCTTCAGGAGCACTGAACACCACGGGCTGTTTGTTATTCTGAGGTTTGCTGTAATGAAATGTTCCTGGTCATGAGGAGTGCACTTAAACAACCGTGTATGGAGTCTTGCCAGGAGTGAAAATAGCTTAAAAGCAGTGTTGGTTAGTGTTCTGTCAACTTGACAAGAGCTAGAGTCATCTGGGAAGGGAGAACCTCAGCTGAGGAATCGCCTCCATCAGATTGGTCCGTAGGCAAGTGTGTGCGTGGGGGGTGTTTTCTTCATTGAAGATTGATATTGGGGGGACCCAGTCCACTGTGAGCAGTGCCACCATTGGGCAGATGGTCCTGATTTGTACCACAAAGCAGCTTGAGGAAGCCATGGGGAGCAAGCCAGTAAGCAGTGTTCCTCCACAGTCTCTTCTTCAGTTCCTGCCTCTAGTGTTTTGCCTTGAGAACCTACTCTGGCTTCCTGGGAGGTGGGAGCGTAAGCTGAAATAAACCCTATCCTCCCCTAAGTTGATTTTGGGCATGTCGTTTTATCACAGCAATGGGAAGGCAAAGGAGAATAAAAGCCACGGCAGAAGGCTCATAACTAGAGGTCTAACACTTGAGAGGCTGAGGCAGGAGAATTACCATAAATTCAAGCCAGGCTGCAGAGTGAGACACTGTCTGGGGGGTGAAAAAAGCTAATCTAAAATGGCATAGGAAGAAAGCCATGTCCTTCCTTAGCACGAGCATAGAAGGGCATCTTCAGATCTAACCCTCTCGGATGGAATGACTGCTGCGCTCAGAGTACGGAGCCAAAGACTAAGCTAGAGGTGAGCACATAGTGTGAGGCCACCAGAGTGCATCCCAACCAGTTTCCATTTAGCAACTTTTGCCTGAATGTGTGCATTTAAGATGCGGTGATATAGACCAGCTCAGGCGTGCCATGTCTTCCCATTTAATAGTCTAGCAGTATCTGAGCCACGTGGATGCGTATGGTACAACGAGCAGGCCACACTGCTAAGGCCAACGCGGTGAAGTGGAGCCTGGCACGGAAAGGGCTCCTGGTCCCTGAAGCCCTGGCCAGCCCCAGGCTGCTGAGGGAGGAACAGGGTGCAAGGCAGCAGTGACCCACCCGACCCAGAGGTGAAAGCGCGTAAGAAAGAAGCCATTTTGCCCTGAGCTGAGCTGAGCTCCTGGGGCAAACGAGGGAAATAGGGCTGCTTTACATTTTCTCCAGCCTACTTGTTTTCAAAATGACCTGCAGCTCAGTAAAAAGGCTCACATTGGATTGAAAGCCCACAGCACAGCAGAAAGTAGGGAAGGGTGTAGTTTACAATCCTGTGTGTTACTTGATCCTTTTGCAGGCCGGGGCCTCAGCTCCTTCCTTTTCTCCTGCCCACCTCTTCTTCCTTTCTTATAGAGACACAGCCTCATGTTTCCCAGCAGGCTGGTCTCAGACTCACCATGTAGCAGAGTATAACCCTGGATTGTTGATCCCCCGCCTCTACTTCTAGTGCTGGAATTACAGGTGTGGCCACCATGCCCGGTTTGGATCGATGTTGTTTGTTTAAATCTAATAGTCCTGAAGTGTCATGTGTGAATATAGTGATGTTAAAGATGCCAAAATGAATAAAAAAGTGTGCCTATTGTATACATAGCCCTGGCCAATGGGAAACAATCAATCTGTGAAGTAGAAATGGGATTAAGGACACAGGGCCATCAATTAACAAATAAAAAAACTGTGGCACAATAAGCAGTATCAGAGGGAAGATGGTGCCCCCATCAGATCTCAGAAAACTGAGCTCCGAAAATAAAAGAATGTTATACTAAACACCCAAAGAAGAGCTGAAATAAGAGAGCAAGAACATTATCAAATGTCCAGTGCAAGCCAGACTCCATGTTAGTAGACAATGAACATGTGATCTTTTGCCTCTCAGTAGGAAGGGTCAAAGTGGCAGCTCTTTTCCAAAAATGCCACTGGAGTTTGGGGTGGGGAAATGGAAGCAATGACTTTACAAGAGAGCTGTGTTCAAGTTTTCACACACACACACACACACACACACACACACACACACACACACACACACACACCAGCAAGATGGCTCAGTGGGTAAAAGTAGTTGCTGTCCAAGTCTGATGACCTGATGTATCTCCAGAACCCATGGTAGATGTACAGAATACTCAGACTACCTCCACACATATATGGGGAGACTTATTCACCTGAATTCATATGCACATCATATATATATAATAATGATAAATATATAAACGTCCAAACAAAAATTTAAATGAGAAACAAAGACCTTCGATAGATTATTTTTTTCAAAGAAGATATACAGATGGCTAATAAGCACATGAGATGATCAGTTTCATTATTTAATAGGGAATAGAAACCAATTTGAATAGAAATCATTTTGACATAGCTTTACATTCATTAGGGTAGCTGTCCACAAGAGTACCAAGTGTCAGGTGACAAATGAAGAAATAAATGGAAACTTTTGAGCTTTGTTGGTAGGAATGGAAAACAACCAAAAATTGTGTTTCAAAAAGAAAGAAAGATCAGTTACCCACTAGCCAGTAATTCTTTTTCTAGAAATATACATCAGACAACTGAAGCAGAGGGCACCCATGTTTCTAGCGGCATTTTCCCACAAAGTGGGAAAAAAGAGAAGTCAAGGCACCCAGTGATGGATGAACACAAGCACATCGTGTAATTGACCCACAGAATGAATGTGGCTCTGCCTCAGGAAGGAGGAAATGTTGGCGCATGCTGCAGCGCTGACGAGCTTGAAGGCATTGGTACTCAGCACAGCTGCTACAAAGACCCAGATGCGCTTACTCCACTTATGTCAGGCATCACGTCTGGTCAGATGTACAGACAGCCTGGCAGGGTGACATACAACTGTAATTTCTACACTTAAAGAGTTGAGGCAAGAGGACCACTCTGAGTCTGAGGCCAGTCAGGGCTGCACAGTGAGGCCCTGTTCCAAACCAAGCAGGCAAGCAAGCACAAACAAAGATAATAGAAAGGTGGGTAGCAATAGGGGGCAGTTTTTTTTCTTTTTCTTTTTTTTTTTTTTTTTTTTTTTTGGTTTTTCCAGATAGGGTTTCTCTGTGGCTTGGAGGTTGTCCTGGAACTTGCTCTTGTAGACCAGGCTGGTCCCGAACTCGAAGAGATCTGCCTGCCTCTGCCTCCCAAGTGCTGGGATTAAAGGCATGCACCACCACCGCCTTGCAGGAGGCGGGTTTTTTTTTGTTGTTGTTGTTGTTTTGTTTTTCCAGACAGGGTTTCTCTGTATTGTTTTGGAGGCTATCCTGGAACTAGCTCTGTAGACCAGGCTGGTCTCCAACTCACAGAGATCTGCCTGCCTCTGTCTTTCAAGTGCTGGGATTAAAGGCATGCACCACCACCGCCCTGCAGGAGGCAGTTTTTATGAGACCATTTTCAGCTGGGGGAGATGAGTTATTTTGGAGATTTGGAAGGGTTATATTTGTCTCACATGTATTTAGCTACTGTGTACCTCCAAGTGACTAAGATGAACTGCCAGGGTCCAGCTCAGCTGGGGTTCAGGTCCTGAGATGGGAAGGGGGAAGGAGGAAGGAAAACCTCTGACTACCAAGTGGATTACACTCAAATGGCCCCGAATAGCTCAAGCAGTCTTTTCTTTATACTTTATCTTACCACGATTACTTGAACAGCATTATTATTGGCTTCTCTTTTTGACTTTAGGAAATACATCACAATTTAAGGAATACATTGTGATCATTATGAAAGCCCCCATTATTCCCATTTATACGTCCTCAGTACATCTTCCCACCCCCTGCACAATCTTATTCTAGACATGAGTTCAGCAGTTTTGTAGGCCCTAACTAAATATCGAGCCAGACACACCTTGCTCTCACAGCACTTACATCAGCTGGCAGCTACTTGCAGTCACAAAGTTAAAAGCAATAGACATGGGCACAACGCTTTAAGGATGACAATGTTCGAACCCAGACAATTATTTCATGTCTTCAATATATATTTTATACAGTTCCTTTTTCTACAAGAGGGTCCCATGTCTCAATCTCTTAGCAAAAGGCAGATCTTAACAATCACTCTTTTCCAATCTCACTATACCATACTTCTCCCACCAATATAAGCTCCGATGACAAAGATGGATCTATCCATCCCATATTTTACATTGTATTATTCCCATCAAAATATACTAGATATTATCAATGATTCTGTATGATTGGTGCCCAGGGAACTTACTCTCAACAGTTGACACTATGTGTATTTTTGAAGCCTTTTCCCTATTCTGTGGATGCATGTCTTACTCTCTTTTCCAGAACTTTGAGACATGGTTAATGTTCCAAGTGTTGTTTCTTCATATGTACCTAATTATCACTATTGAGTCAAAAAAAGTTCCAAGGATTAGGAATTGTGGTTAGTAATTCCAGATAAGAGATTTAAGAAACATTAGCTCCCAGATGAATCTTAGGGGAAAATATTTGAAACGGAACAGAATTTCCAGGGAAAATTATAGCTATTGCATGCATTACTGACAAAGTAAAACTAAAAACTGCCCAAAGAGTCACCAATATTATGAGAGGGAAAAGAACCTGCTAGCTGTATAACTTTTGCAGAATCCTACGCTGTCCTGTGGATTACTGGTGCTTGCCAAGTAAGAGTCCATTTTCACAGGTGCCTTGTCCCATGGAAATCCACTGGTCAGGTGGTCATATGTTACTTTGAGACTAGGCTGCATAGTTCCCAACAATGAACCAAGTTTAACAATAACCCCAACATTAGGAGGTGGAGGCAGGAGGATCTCTGTGATTTTGAGGCCAGCCTAGTCTACACAGAGTGTTCCAGGCTAGCTAGAGCTCTAGAGTGAGACCCTGTCTCAAACAATAACAACAAAACTTTTAGATAGAGTTTAAATAAATAATAGGAGAAGTCTAATATACATCTTTCATCATTCAGTTCTGAAATGACTAGTGTTTGGTAAATCATCTAAGCTCAAGTCTGCCTTCTTTTCTTTTTTACAGCACTGGGGCTCAAACCTGGGCTATCACGGAGCTACATCTCCAACCCATACTGCACCTTTCTACATATAACCACTCTTGTACCTAGCTCATGGGCTAAGGATGTGGGGAAATGGTACTGGAGTTGGCCCAAGCATCTTTTAAAGAAAAGAGACCAGGCTCAAAATGGAGCTGCTCCTGAAAGATCCAGGATTCCAGTCACTTTGGTCACTTGTCTGTAAGACCTGACCCTCTGAGGGCTCAGCAGAGAGCCAAACTGCACTGAGCTGATAAGATTTCACTTATACTTCTATAAGAAAGAGATCTTGAGTCTTGAGGCAGCATGGGTTAGGGAGAGATCCCCCTCCCCCACCACCGCATCAATGCCTGTGGCAGATGGGAGAGCTAGCCCTAAGGTTGTTAGAGTAGGAGAGCTGTCCTTGCCCCCACCAGCTGTAACACTTGGGAGAGCAGGCCCTGCACCTCACCTGGGCAGTACAATACAGCTAACTCTATTGGTGGAGGTGTGGGTGAGCCAGGCCTGAAACTGTGAGCACGGGAGAGTTGTCCTCATTACTCATTTGTCTTGTGTAGGGAAAAAGAGCCGCCCACCCCATCAGCACCTGAGGCAGGTAGAAGAGCTAGCCCTGAGGTAATAAGAGTGTGAGAACTAGCCCTGCCCCTCATCAGCGGCAGCATTCAGGACAGTGGTCCCTACACCTTGCCTGGGCAACACAGTAGAGCTGGCCCCGAATAGATGTAGAAGAACTGACTCTGAGCATGTGAAAACCAGAGAACAGGCCCTGTGCCTTGCTCATTGCTGCAAGGGGTAACCTAGCCAGGGCAATCCTGGAGACCCTACCCTGGTGGTAAGGACAAGAGAGACCTGGTGGGCTGACTAACCCTACATTACCCAGACCCAGAAGTAGGATTATATGCTGGCCCACCCCAACATCTATCCCATCTCTGACCTGCTGGAGCTTGGGGGTGGGGAGTGGGAGTGGGGTCAGTCCTGTGGACCCAGGGCTGCAGGATCTCCACAACACAGGACAGCAGTGGAATGTCCAGAAAGAGAACCGTTGAGGGCCCGGTGACAATGGTGCTGCACAGACCAGACCAATGATTCTTTTTGATAAATTCTGGCATGTAAAAAATATATGGACAAAGGGGTTTACTGTGACTCACTGTGTCACACTGCAGCTTCCACGACAAGATTTCCCCCTTCTTCATTTTTTCCTTTTCCTCTTAAATTTTATTTTGTTTTATTTTGGGGAGATGGGTGGGATCGTGAGGCACAATGTGAAAGATACAAATAATAAATAAAAAAGTTTAAAAGAGGAGAAAGGGATCTTGAACAATTTGGTATTCTCTTATCGTTGCTGCTTTCACCCTTTTTTAATTTAACAGTTTATTTTTATTGCTCTTAACTCTACATGTTTTGAGGGGGTGTGTGAGTGCTGGCCCAAGATGTTGGATCCTCAGGAGCTATAGTTATAGGCAGTTGTGAGTCAGATGACATAGGTGCTAGGAACTGAACTCATTTACTCTGTAAGAGCCACAGATATCTTTTAACCAATAAGCCATCTCATCTGCACATGCTTTTTGTTTTGTTTTCTGAAACAGTGTTTTTCTATGTAATCCTGGCCAGCTGGAACTCCCTATGAAGACCAAGCTGTCCTGGAACTCACAGAGATCTGCCTGCCTCTGCATCCCAAATGCTGGGGTTAGAGGTGTACACCAACAAGCCCTGTCCTGTGCTCTGTCTTTGAGACAGTTTCTGGTAGTCCAGACTAACCTTCAACTCATGGTGATGACCTTTGGAACCCTGATATTCCTTCCTTCACCTACCTTGCTCCCTTGTAACTATTCTGTTCCTCTAGAGAATGCTGATTAATACACTAGACAAGAACTCCAACACCCGAGACATACTGCCCAGCCTCTTTAAAACATTCCAAAGATTCTGAATTCCAAAAACACACCTGGTGGGAAGGGTGTATGACACAAGAGTGTGGATAACCAGTGTCAGTGTCAGTCCAGGAATAGTGACATTCCATCTATTGAGGACTTGGCTTAAAAAAGAGGCATGCCAAGTACATTATGATTATCATCATCATCATCATCAATTTTTTTGAAGTAGGGTCTCTCTATGCAGCCCTGACTGTCCTGGAACTATAAGTAGACCAGACTGGCCTCGACCTCACAGAGATTCACCTGCCTCTGCCGCCCTAGTGCTGGGATTAAAGGTATAAACCACCATGCCTAGCCTGCAAAATTCGTTTAAATAGATTAAGTATCTCCCAGTTCCCTATCAGGAGCTAATGTTATCTCTTACAGGGGTAAGAGAGCCAGCCACCTGGAGATCCTACAGCAGCAACCTAAGGACAGACAGCTTCAGGCACTCATAATGGTTTCCTGTGGTAAATTCAGAGTGCCTCTCTAGAGAAGTGTGAGTGTAGCTAGCTGCTACGTAGCTCAGAAGAACGCGTTGTTAAAACCCACTTTTCAAAAGCGTTGCTACCAGCGGTCCTCCTGATGTGAATGAAGGCTGTCACCACTCCAGGAAGTTAACACTGCACAAGAACTGGAAAGAGGCATCTCTCGACATATCTTCTAGAGCTCTAGCAACCTTCTCTACTTCTCACTGGTTCAAACCATCTCACGTGCTCACTGCTAGCCAATCACTGCCAAAGGACTGGCCCTATTTTAATTCGTCAATAAAGTATAGGAGTCTGGGAGCTTCAGTACGGAACAGTTCAGAGCTTTGCGGTGGGGCCCGGAGGGAGGAAGAGGCTGGATAAGTTGCCGCAGGAACCCTGGCCTAGTCTTTGAGAAGTTGGTGTGCAGCCCTCGGCAAAGCCGAGGCCTGGAGCCGCACCCCACCCCCATGCCGTCCTGTCCCCGGTGGTGGTCCCCGATGGTGCTCCCCAGGCCTGCTCACGACCAGCTAGCAAAAAACAGTAGGGCGCTGCTCCCCAGGCCGAGCTCACAACACCAAGCAAAGCCAGCAGCTGTCAGACCCAACGCCCGGGGCACCGCCCAGTGCAGCTTTACCCATGCCGATTGGTCTGCGGTTCTATCTATCAGATTCAATAACCAATCATAAGGGAGAAGAGGAGGGCGCGCCTCCCGCGGACCAAGGGTTGCAGAAGCGTGGCAAATACTAAACAAACGACCTTTGGGACTGACTTTGTGAACCGACAATCAACAAGTCAGTCACAGCTTGCGAGGCGTCTACCTGTGGCGGGTGAACGAATCCCCGCACCTCGGGCCGTAGGAGACTCGGGTTTCTGCTACTCCTGCCTTGCAGCCCTCGGTGGGGTACAGTCTCGGTCCTTAAGGCCACGCCCCAAGCCTCCTCATTGGCCCTTGAAGGCACGTGGTCTGTTGGTCCCGCCTTCGGGTGGCCTGAGAGGCGGCACGGAAAGCCGCATGGACAGCTTGGCCCCAGGCCGATGGAGACGACGCAGGACCGAGGAGCTCTCGGCTGCAGGAGACGCGGTAAGCTTCGGGCGGGGCTCGAGAAGAGGGAGGCAGCACCGTAACTGGCGTGCGGGCGGCTAAGGCGTGGCTCTTCCAGACGGCGGGCGCCTGGGCGGTGGAAGCCTATTGCCGAGGCGGGGCCGGGGGCGGGGCCGGGCAGAGGACAGTCCCGCCCCCCAGCTGCGCTTGCGCATAGCTGCAGAGCCTTGTGTTCCTTGACCAAACCGTAATATCGTGTTAGGAGATTTATGGAACACAACCTGTGCTGTAAGTCCGATCTGGTCACCCATCCTCAGTAAGAAAATTGAAAGAGCAAAGCTAAGAGTAGAAAACAGAAAAAGATTTATTTAATGCAGTCACCGTGAAAGAGGGACAAAGGAATCCAGACAACCACTCCAAGTCTGACTTTGGAACCCTGAAGTCAGAGTGAAAGTGAAATAGAGAGCCAAGATATCTAAGCAGTCCGTTTCAAAGGCGTGGCCCGGACAATATTAGCCCATCATTGTCTTGTGAGGTGGTCTGGCAGGTTAGAACTGTGTGAAATCTCTATTCCCGAGACGCCTTATCCCTTTGCTGGAACTTTTTCCTTCTCCCACCATGAAATTCTTGGGGGAAATTCCCGTTTCTTTGGGGTTCGTTGTTTGAATACTCTGGTAGTCAGATTAACAGTCACATTTCTTTAGAATATTTCCATTTCTGCCAAGCCAGTGTGAGAGCTCAGGCGCTCAGAGTCAGCCTATTGCAGGCACCTAACCGCCTGTCCCAAACCTTGGGAGAAGGCAAGTGGAAAGTTAGCTGCTAAGGGTAGGCGAAGGCTTTTTGTGTCCCGTGCTTCCCAAGGAGCTGAGCCTGCTGGGCATCTGTTGTTGCATCAAGTTCTACCTAGAGAGAGTTCTAACTAGGGACCTGCACAATTAAGTTACAACAATATTGCCAAAAAAAAAAAAAACCCAAACCCAAAACAACAACAAAAAACAAAACAACAGAACACCACAAAATAAAAAACAACTCAATGTGATAAGTAAGTTTATGGTTTTGGGTTGAAACTTGTGGAACTGAAGTTTGAAGTAGGCAGCCTCTTAGTGGAACTGTGCTTGCCCCTGCTTCTTGCACACCGATTCTTAGCTCTCACCTTCATTCACTGCCTCTTTCGTAGAGGGGATTTGTTTGTTTGTTTTTGCTTTAGTAGTGTTTTGAGACAGTCTTCTACAGTTCAAGATAGCCTCAAGTTATGTTATTATGTTAGACAACCCCAAATGACCTTCACTTCTGATCCTACTGCCTCCTTCCTGCCAGAGCTGGGGCTACAGGTATGCACCCTTAAACCCGCCTCCAACATTTTATTTTCCTTGCTGCTCCAGTGCAGTAGGCTTGCCATGTGCTGATATGTCTTTCCAGTTAGCACAGCAATGTTCGACTTGCTGCTCCAGTGCAGTAGGCTTGCCATGTGCTGATATGTCTTTCCAGTTAGCACAGCAATGTTCGACTTGAGGTTTTGTTTTGAGGCAAAGCCTTTCTATGTATTCCACAGTGGCCTGGAGTTTTCTTTGTAGCCCAGGCTGGTTTTGTACTCTCAGTGCTTCTCACTAAATCTCCCCTTATAGACATGGCCACAAACCATTTCCAGCAGCAGGCAACTTTGTTGTTTGTTTGTTTTCCCGAGACAGGGTTTCCCTGCAGCTTTGGAGGCTGTCCTAGAACTTGCTCTTTAGACCAGGCTGGCCTCAAACTCACAGAGATCAGCCCATCTCTGCCTCCTGAGTGCTGGAATTAAAGGCATAAACCTTCTCCCAGCCTTTTTTTTAAACTACAGTAAAGCAAGAATGATTAGATAGGGGTGGCTGAGTGATAAAGCAAGTACTTAGTATGCACAAGGAACTGGGGTCAGAAAAAGGTGGGGCTGGGGAGATCCTTAGCCAGTGAAGTTCTTCTAGTGAAAGTGTCAACCTGAGTTCAATCCCCAGAGGTCGAATAAAAAAGCCACATTTGTCATCATGGTGCTAGGGAGGTGGAGACTGGCAGATCCCTGGGGCTAGCTGGCCAGCCAGCCTATTTTACTTGGCAAGCTCCAGACCAGAGAGAGACTGTCTCAAAAAATGAAGTGGAGAGTGCCTGAGAAATGAAACCCAAGTAGTTCCCTGGCTTCTACATGCACACGTGTGGATATGTACCTGCACACAGACACACAAGATAAAGCATCTTAAAGAACTTAAAAAGAAAGAGTAACTAGGATAGTAACTATGTCCTGGACCGAGTGTCCTCCCCACCCTAGCCTGTGCTCACGGCCAATGTTGTAGGTTTTAACTTAAATAGAATGACTAGGTCAGACATGTGGCACACGCCTTTAATCTCGGCACTCTGAAGGCAGAGGCAGGCAGGTCTCTTGAGTTCAAGATTCGCCTGGTGTATAGAGCCAGTTTCAGAACAGCCAGGACTACACAAAGAAACCCTGTCTCAAAAAAACAAACAGTCCTGGACCTTGTGTACCTCATGTCCTGTCCTTATAGCCAGTGTTGCTAGCTCTATATTGCATCATCTCCAGGCACCACTTGGCTTCTGTAATGGAACTGTATTCATGTTAGTTCAGGCAAGTCTAATCCAGTCAGTTGGACTCTCCTGCTTCTCCCACACATAACAGTGTGGAGGTGAACAGTCTTGTTGGGTATGATTACGAGCCCTTATACAGGAATAGAGGGTAGTGCCCAGATGGAGGGTTAGCCAGGGCCCTAGAGGCCCTATAGTCTCCTTCAATTCTATCCTTCGTGTTCTCTTCTGAACTGTCAAAGCTGGTGTACCAGTGTGATACAGGTATTCCAGACAGTGGGAGAGCATTCGAGAACTGACTGTGGCTGTCCTATGGGACATGAAAGGCTGTGGTCAGTGTAGGTGGGGAGGCATACTGACCACTCTCACTCCCATCTCCCTACTATTCCTGTACCTCTCCTTTCTCCCCATACTTCTCTCTCACTGTTCATGTCTACTGGTTTTGTTTTGTGACCCACTGAGATCAACTGTGGCCATCTATATGACATAAGGTTTGGAGGTATCTGTTAGAGCCTGGTGAGATCAGCAGAGAGTGCACACCTAAAAACAGTGCAAACATCAGTTTCTAGAGCGTGCCTTCATCTTGGGCTGTACAGCGTCCTATGTGGGGCCATGTAGCTAAAGCACAAGGTTTCACCATGACATCCTACATACGTCATCATAGCGATGGAAGTATGGACTGAGGCTGCCAGCTGCGGGACTCAGGTCAGCCCGAGTTCTGCTGTGCTGAGGACGGACCCCAGAGCCTGGGAATGCTAGGTGGTTGTGTTCTATCACTGAGTGAACCCTAGGCCATTCTCCCCTACACTCTTGTGTAAAATTTTAGTTTGACACAGTTGGCTTTGAATTTGTGGTTCCAATTTAATTCCACTCTGGTTTGAAATGTACTTAGTATGACTTGGATCCTTTCAAGTTTATGACACAATCATTGTCAGGCTACAGTAAACCACTTCATGGTGAAGGAGCTGCCTTGTCTTTCCTCTCAACCCTGTTCTCCTCTACTGTAGTCCTCAATTTACTTTGACCTCCACTGATAATGAATGAGAAAATTGCTCAAAGGTACTTATAGAAAAATGTAAAAGTTGCCAGAGACACTTTGTGTATGGAGACACAAACGTAGGGGGCTGTGATTTCACGCTGGAAATGGACCTAACAGAATTTCATCAATGACAGACAAAAATCCTATCCATTTAGAATTCTATAACCAGTGAAAATTATCTTTTGTGTTCAGTTTCTGATAACTTCTTGTTTTTAAGCTGAGTAACCTTTTCTTCCAAAGTATCTAATTTGCCACTAATTGCATATAGTACAGTTTTCACCTCAGGAATTGTAACCTTTAACTTGGATCATACATACACATATATCACATGTCTAACATTTTGAGCATATGCCTTTATAGGAACCCTTTGAGTGCTGTCTTCTAATTCTTCATTTTCAAACTTGAAGAGTTTGTTTTGGCCCAGTACTGTGAGCCTGTGAACAAGTAGAATATTTCGCAGTGCTGTGGACAGAGAAAGAGGAAAGGGGGGTGGATAGAGAGGACAAGATGTATGCTTTAAAGACACATCCCATGACTCTCTGTCAGGCCATGCCTCTTGCTAGCCATGAGGGTATGATTCCATTAGTGAGGCTAACATCCTAACTGCCAATCTGTCAGAACAGGATACAAGAATGGAGTCGTGTGAGGAGAATTCCGAGTAACTGTGAGATAACAAAACGAGAATCTTTTATGTACATTGGTGTTTTGTCCGAGTGTATGTCTGTGTAAAGGTGTGGAATCCCTGGAACAGGACTTACAGACATGTGAGCTGCCATGTGAGTGCTAGGAATTAAACCCGTGGCCTCTGGAAGAGCAGCCAGTGCTCTTAACTGCTGAGCTATCTCTGCAGCCTGTGACTTCAGTTTCTCTAAAACATGGAATTCTTCCAGATAGGAGTTAGTTTACTTCAGATTACTCATTATTGCTTGCTGCTGTTATCCTTTATGTGGTTCTTAGAGAAATATGCTTTTGCCATGTGTGGCTTGTCTTTGTGATTTTATACAGCGTGAGCACATGAGACCTTTACTCATGTGACTCTTCTTAACCTTCTGAGTATAAATTGTCTGATACTATGAGTAAAGTTGCCTATTGCATGAGACTTTAGTTTGCCTCATTTATGGGCTCCATTCTCCCAGGTCCCACTGCTGCTACAGTGGTCAACATCCATTTCTTCTGGGACCCCATCTTGGAATACTGCCTCATTGGGATCAAGCCTTCAGTTCATGAGACTCTGGGGGACACACTTTCTATACAAACCATTTTACCTAGTAATTTTTTATTAGTCAGACATTGTCAGTTAGGGGTGTGGTGGTTTGAATAAGAATGGCCCCCATAGGCTCGTGTATCTGAACCAGGGAGTGGTGCTATTTGAATGGATTAGAAGGATTAGGAGGTCTCATTAGGAGGAAGTGTGTCACTGGGGGTGGGCTTTGAG